TATTTGAACTTTGTAGAAATTGATAGCCATTGTTTCATTTATATTTGATGTGGTGCTTTTCAGTGAAATAAATGATTTTATTATTAGAGCATTATGTCAGAGGACGCCAGGGTTGAGCCAAAGAAGCTTTTAAAGAAGGTTGCACAACACTTACTACACTAATAAATATATGACAGGAGAAAGTGAATTGCACAGCTAATATGCATAACAAGAAGCCACAGGGCAGATTCACCACGTCTCATGGAAAATATGCACATAATCAGTCCCAAGATGAAATTGTGTATATTTCCTGGTCAAAATAATACTTCCCAATGCATTATAGTCCCAACTCTATTTATTATTTTCATCACCATGAACCTACACATTGTCGAAGGAAAACTCCTCACTGGAGTAGAAATCATATATTGAACAGATGGTAAGCTCTTCAATTTGAGTAGGCTGAAAGCAAAGAATAAGGTTACCATAACCTTTGTCATAGAGCTTCAATATGCTGATGACAAGATAGTATATGCACACTCAGAAGATGACCTCCAAACCATCCTAACTATCTTCGCAGAACCTTATGGAAAGCTTGGCCTATCGCTCAATATCCAAAAAACCAAAAACAACCCCCCTGCAGCATCACAAATCCAACTTAATGGTGTAACATTGAAAAATGTCAATCATTTTTCCTACATAGGCAGTTATCTTTCCACAAAGGCCGACACTGATGCCGAAATCCAGCAGTGCCTGAATTCAGTGAGTGCAGCTTTCTCCCGACTGAAGTGCAGAGTGTTTGAGGACTAGGACATTTGAAGGGAAACCAAAATGCTTGTTTACAAAGCTATTGTACTACCAACTTTACCATACAATTGTGAAACATGGACCACTTATAAATGCCATCTCCACCTCCTCGAAAGATTCCATCAACAGTGTCTCCGAAAATTTTTACGTATCACTTGGGAAGACAGGTCAACTAATGCCAGTGTATTGGAAGAAGCAAAGATCACCAGGGTCGAAGCAATGATTCTTCAACATCAACTTTGTTGGACTGGTCATGTTGTTCAGATGCCTGATTATCATCTTCCAAAGCAACTACTCTATTCCCAACTTAAGAATGGAAAGCGTAATGCTGGTGGACATCAAAAGAGGTTTAAAAACGCTCTAAAGGCAAATCTTTAAAAATGTAGTATAGCCAAATGTAGTAGAACAGCCTTTACCAAAGGTGCCATGGGCTTTGAAGACACTTGAACTCAGGATGCAAGGAGCTAAGAGGAAGGCACGTTTGACAAATCCTCACCATGATCAACTCCCCCCCGGAAACCTATGTCTCCATTTGGAAGGACATGTGGATCCAGAATTGGCCTCCACAGTCACTTACAGACACACTGTTAAGACCGTGTTCGTGGAAGACAATCTTACTCAGCTATGAATGCTCGCCACAGAAGAAAGAAATACTCCCTACTGTCCTTGGGAATGCACCCACCATCCAAGAAGTGCTGTCAAGTGGAGCTTATGTCTGACCTAGTAAAATTTCATCTATCTATGATCAATGAGAACTTCAGCTTCATAATCATTTAGATTCATGTCTAGAAAAAAAACAAAATAGTGAATGAAATTATGTCTCCTTGCTTCATTGTGGTATATGGAAAAAGCAATGGCATATTTTGTGGAAGAGTATAGAAGGCAAAGTAACGGCTTGGAAGAAGGAGGATGCTAAAGCTCTAAGTTTATCGTCAAGAGTAGAAGAGAAGCAAATAAGCAATGGACTTATTTATTTATGAGATTTATCTACCACCCTTCATCATAATTTTAGGGCAGTTCCTAGAGGATTGACTTCCAGTGCATATATTCTACCTATTAGCTAAAGTCAAAACCTGTTCTGCCATGGGTGTAGCTAGGATTTATGTTGGGGGGGGGGACAGGCTTCATGTTGGGGGGGCAGAACCTCAGTTAGTTATTTTTTTATTGATTTACTTAATGGGGGGGGAGCAGATGCCCCCTGACACGCCCCTTGGCTATGCCCATGATATAGGATTGCAGTCTAAGCTGCTTCTAGTGGAAGTTGCTGGGTGTTGAGAACTTTTAGAAAACATGGATGTAAGAATACATGTCAGATATATGTGGTATATCAATTTGAGCAACTGGCACAGCTCTTGGAATGCCTCATCCTATGTTTTTGTGCTAGGTCAACAACTCTTAAGATTTGACCACACACTTTGTGTCTATTACTGTTCTAACTTATTAAAACTGACAGCCTATTAGGAGTTTTATAGAACCACAGAAATGATGCACCTAAGTAGAAGACTTGTAATTTACATCAGATGGATAAAATGGGTCTAAGAGGAGAGGCATATAGATGTTTATAGCACAGCAGCAGCTAGGCCATATTGTAATACACACTAGAGGATGAGATGCCACAGAATGAATAAAAAGATGGGGATGTGGTGGAGGAGAACCTGATGAAATAATGAAGGTGGATCTGCTACTTCAGGGTAAAGAAAGGGGCCTTGAGGAGGAACTTAAAGCTGGAGAACTAACTGACTCATTGAACAAATAGGGAAAGACTTCAGGTATAGACAGCAGCACGACAAGAGGTTTAGAGAAGGGGGCCTAAAGGGGACAATAAGAGGAATTTATGCAAGGGGGGGGGACACCAAGTAGATGAAAATGGAAAGTTGTGAAAGTTAGAAGTTAGAACTTGAAAATGAGGGGCAGGGAGTCAGCAGCAAGGGTAAGGTGAGTTAACCTTTTGTGGAGGATGGGGAGATGCTGTAAAAATAAAGGACAGAGAGAGGACATAACTGTAGTCAACACAACAGGTGGCAAGAACACAGTTCTCAAAGCTTAGCAGTATATCGAGGGGAAAGTGCAGATCTCATCTATTGAAAGGGATTCTGGGCATTTTGAAGAAATCATCTGAAATGTCTGTATTTTCATAGTGGAGGGGTCACCAACCCAGTGCCTGTGAGTGCCCCATGGTGCCCCCAAAAACTTTCATTGAGGAATCCTGTGCTTTCATTAAAAAGAAAGCAAGCAAGCAAGTAAGTAAGTAAGTAAGTAAGTAAGTAAGTAAGTAAGCAAGTAAGTAAGTTAGTTAGAGGGCAGATGCCTTCTAAGGAATTAGAAGTGAGTGGCCACTTTTGTACATTTTTCCTGGTACTGCTCCCTGTTGCTATAAGACAGTAAGTGTGTGTGTGTGTGTGTGTGTGTGTGTGTGTGTGTGTGTGTGTAGAATCAATATTGTGTTATCGCCACAATCAGGATCAGCAGGACATAGCTGACTTCCCATGGCAAGCATAAGGTTGTCAGACTGTCTCTGTAATTTTGTGAAATGTTATGCATTCTGAAAATTCAAAATGAGCCCAGTAGCCTAAAAAGGTTGGCAACCACTGCCTTAGTGAAGAGACTTACATGGCAACAGTGAAGGGGGAAAATGAAATTTAAGAAGTATAAAGAGGAAAGCAAGGGAATTTAAATATAAATAAATACAACATATATAATTACTTTGTCAGAAGTACGTTTTGAATATATTCTTTTGAAGCATGCTTAGTTAGGAAAGTTTATCACAGTACACACATCTTTCTAATTAGATGGAATAAGCTAGATGATTAGAGCTGTACATTAGAAAGCATTAAAAGGTTCATGCAATTTCTTTTCGTATAATTAGAAAGGAATTTTCATAACCCATAAAAGAAGAATGTAATTGTACAATTTAACATAGAATTTAAATATTAAGATCAAACTAGCAGGGCAAGTAGCTTAATAGGATAAATGATATTAACAGCTAGTGTCAAAGCTTAATTTAAACAGAATGTCTTCATTATTCAAAGAGTTGAGCAAATGCAACTCTCAAAAGGTTTTTCCCCTATTGTTTTTCTTCAAAAACAAAGAAATATGCTGGAACATGCTGGGAGACTGAGAAAGCACGGCTGCCTTTGTCCATTGGACCTCACTGTCATACTGTGGTGCAAGATCTTACAAGAAAAGAGTTTCCCACACAGATCCTTTTAAGAACCGGTTAATTTTGCTCTTGCTGGAAGGATAAGAGTGCTGAAATATAACTCTCATTTTCAGCTTTGACTTCTCAGATTTCAGGAGAAGCAAGCATTCTATGCCACTTTCTACAGAGACCTAAAATGCGAACATAAAAGCAGAAAAAGAGCCCTCTTGGATCTGGCCAAAGGTCCCTCTCATCCAGGGTGACTGGCCGGACAGAACTTTTGGCACTGCTGAACTGGTGGATACCTTGTAACTTTGCTGGAAGATAGTTGTGTTGCAGAGGGTGGGTGGGTGGGTAGGTAAAGGTAAAGGTAAAGGTACCCCTGCCCGTACGGGCCAGTCTTGACAGACTCTAGGGTTGTGCGCTCATCTCACTCAAGAGGCCGGGGGCCAGCGCTGTCCGCAGACACTTCCGGGTCACGTGGCCAGCGTGACAAGCTGCATCTGGCGAGCCAGAGCCGCACACGGAAACGCCGTTTACCTTCCCGCTAGTAAGCGGTCCCTATTTATCTACTTGCACCCAGGAGTGCTTTCGAACTGCTAGGTTGGCAGGCACTGGGACCGAGCAACGGGAGCGCACCCCGCTGCGGGGATTCGAACCGCCGACCTTTCGATCAGCAAGCCCTAGGCGCTGAGGCTTTTACCCACAGCGCCACCCGTGGGTGGGTAGGTGTGACCAATAGAAGAACAGACAGAGCTCAAAGATCAAATCAACCATAAGTGAAGGTGCTGGTGGTTGTCTGGCAATTAGGGGAGTTGCAAGTTTAGACAGCAAGAGCCCATTCACACCATCATCACACAATGTGATAGTGTGATGTTGTGAAAGGCTCCTTATTGCTGGAGCCTAGAACCTATCAATAGCATGTGATAACCTTGATACTTACCCACCTCCGAGCCAATTCACAGAATTAGCTAAGATAGTTAATTACTTGGGAGCCTTTATATTGTGCACCTAAACTGGCATAAATCATCCCATGGCCAAAGAATAATAGTTCATAATAATACTTCAGGAATCTTACCATAAATAAGTCCCGGGCACCAATATCAACAGCAAGCAGAAAGGCCTTTTCAAATCTTTGGTGCCTACAGCACAAGGAGAAAACAAAAAGGACAAATTGAAGTTCATGGCTAACATGCCTACACAAGTGTAAAGCAACCTGGCAGCTCATCTTAATTCTTCAAGCACCATTTCTCTGTGTAACCTCTTTAAGAATAGGCCTGATATGATAAGCATATTTGTTATACATTAAAATTTATGTTTTAATAAATAAATAGTGAATAGTGAGGTCAAGATGTTGGTGTTTAGCCCAGTGTTTCCCAACCTTGGGCCTCCAGCTGTTTTTGAACTACAATTCCCATCATCCCTGACCACTGGTCTTGCTAGCTAGGGATGATGGGAGTTGTAGTCCAAAAACAGCTGGAGGCCCAAGGTTGGGAAACACTGGTTTAGCCCATTGAGCTCTTTGTGGCCCAGCCATTATTTCCTTCATACTCTGTAAGTAGTCAGCATCAATATCTACATGTTTGTTGGTCTATGTTGTTAAACCCAACATTTGTTTTTCCTAGGTGGTTGTGATAGTGAAACAAGTCTGAATGCCCCTCTATAATTTACAAATACAATTCAAAGTACCTCAAACAATCATATGTCTCTTGGAAAAGAGAGATAAGGAAATCTGCCTGCAAACCTAGAAGATCAGATACTTCTTTTGGTAAAAGTGAAAGCCAACAAATATATGACCTTCAAGGTTAGAGCTCTCGTCTGAAAGTGCGCTGAGTAATAACACTGAAAAAAGTATCACTTTCTGTCTGTATATTTTGTAGCATATGGCAGTCAACATGACAATTTATAGGTAGAGAAATTTTAAATTTGAAGTAAACAGGACTCAATTCAAGCAATACTTATTTATGAACGCCATTGATATCAATAAAGTTGCATGCATATACATGGTCTCATAAGATATGTAGTGGGCAGAAGCAGAGCTTGTTCTAAGTTTTGGTGCTCCCCTGAACAATAAATTTTAGCCACCCCAGGCAAGAAACCTACCTGTTCTGTACTGTGAGTGTTTTGCTTGTTCACTTCTACAATCTTTAATCTAACCTCTCTGTCAATTTTTCAAATGCTGGGAGATCTAGAGATGGGTGGTTTGAAATCATGCCTAAACATGAATCATATGAGTGGCACACTCGCACTGAGATATAGCACGTGTGGGAAAATTCTGTCTCTCCAGATGTTGCTGAACTAGTATTCCCATTATCCCTAATGCATTCTGGGGCTGATGGGAGTTGCATTTCAGCAACATCTGGAGCACCAAAGGCATTATGTCCAACTATCAGGCAGAGAGAGAACCACCAGTGAATGATGAGAATAAGACTGGTGCTCAGTTCAGAGGGCTCCTCATAGATCTATGGGTGCCATAGATGCTAGAGCCAGCCATGATGCACAGGGACACGCAAGATATTAGGAATAAATATGGGGAAATGTGCATGCACAAAACTGCATACATGTGTTGGAGGACAAAATGTGCTTGAATCCTGCCATTGTGGACATTCACTGGTCATCAAGGAGAACATGCAGAAATAAACAGCACAAACAGGCTTATACAGTATCCAGGTGATACTGGAAGGCTTAGGATCTTATACAATGCCAATGAAGGAGCATGTACAATCACTTGTTTATACTGTAAATTTGTGCATATTCTCCAACCTGGCCTCTAAATGTGTACAATGGTCAGTGATCGTGCATATTCAGTATTCAACACACACTAACATTGCCATCAACAGTGGACCTTATTTACCATGCCATAACCTGGTGCTGCACAGCATTTAAGCATTTGAGTCAGGAAACCCCCCACCACACCCCAGGACAAATCTAACCTTTACCATGAACTCACTACATGGCCTTAAAGTAGCCATTCTCCCCGCAACCACTCTTCCTAATCTGCAATTTGGAGCTAAATACAGGTTGTAACTATTTGTTTTGTTCTTTCATTTGTTTGTTTTATAATTCAATAAAAGGTAAAGGTACCCCTGCCCGTACGGGCCAGTCTTGACAGACTCTAGGGTTGTGCGCCCATCTCACTCAAGAGGCCGAGGGCCAGTGCTGTCCGGAGACACTTCCGGGTCACGTGGCCAGCGTGACATCACTGCTCTGGCGATCCAGAGCCGCACACGGAAACACCGTTTACCTTCCCGCTAGTAAGCGGTCCCTATTTATCTACTTGCACCCGGGGGTGCTTTCGAACTGCTAGGTTGGCAGGCACTGGGACCGAGCAACGGGAGCGCACCCTGCTGCGGGGATTCGAACCGCCGACCTTTCGATTGGCAAGCCCTAGGCGCTGAGGCTTTTACCCACAGCGCCACCCGCGTCCCTAATAATTCAATAAAATGCTATAAAAAAATAACTCAGGTTGTAATGATTACTGAGTGTATGCAGGGGTGGACTTTGGTAATATGGTACCCTGAACAAAGACAATGTTTGGTGCCCCCCCCAATATTTCTTATTTTCATGCCCTCCTACCTCTTGTCTGCCGTTCTGCATATGGTCTCAAGTGGGCAACATCACAGCTGCAGCAAATCAATCGCCAGTCTGACCAGGGCCTAACTCTGAGTATGTACCAGTATAAATAATAGGTTTTATTATTATGTTTATTTTGTGGCCCCTCGTCTTGACAGCCTGTGCAGGGAACCACCCAAACTGCCCTAAATCTGGTGCTGGTGTATGTAAAGTTCATTGAAAATTCAGTAGATTCTGCTAGTCATCAAAATCGGCAAAGAAAGATCTATGAGCAAAAGGTATAGTTTAACACTGCCCACAAATCTGAATTTATCATACTGATGTTGGCACACCAAGGAAGGAACAAAGGGTCCACCTTAACAGTAAATTTAGATCTAAAAGTATTCACATCTATGTTCTCTTATACATATGCATATTCAGATAAACTAAATAGAGATTAAAATTGCTTGAAAAAAAGATTGATAATCTTGTGAAATCTCCTGTTATTGAGGTTATATTCCTCGTTAATAAATATTGTGGCATGGTTCTAAAGAGGACGTGAAATGCTACAGGACACTCCAAGCTCTGAGGCCTGGGAAGGCTAAGGTAGGAAAAGAGACCAAAAAGCCTCTGCAGCTGCTGCTGGTGGCGCTAGTTGTAAGTAAAAGTAGGGGTAGTAGTAAGATTTCTAACTCGCTCTTCATCTAAGGTCCCAGGGCAGGTGATGATTTAAAAATACAATATACTGAATACGGTTTAAACATGCTGAACATTTCAGAACCATGTCCTATGATGAGAAGCAAAGATGCACAGAACAAAGACGCTCTAATACTTATTGGCTGGCCCTGCTTATTGGTGGGTCTCACCACCCTTCTTATATGTACTTGTTTTTGTTTTTTTTTGTGGGGAGGGAGAATATGCTGGCAATAGAAAATATTTTTAGTTATTTATAACCAACAAGCAGTCTTAGACATGCTCATTGACCATGTAAGCGTATTCCTGGTGCTGAACTGATAAAAGGAGCACTGCTACATCCCCCCTCCTTTTCAGTAAGAATGCACAATGTTTAGAAAATCATCTGCGCCACAATTTTAATTTATAAACCTTTCCTTGTAAATGAAGAAGTCTTAGAACCTGCCTCACCAAGAAGTCCAGTGAAGGATGATGTGTGATATGTAAATGAGCATTTAAAATCCTTCCAAAGGAAGACAATGAGAGTAATGAATATTGGAAACAATTTGCATGTAATTGAATCCAACAGAAATTAAGTTTTAATTTGTTCAAATTCTGAAATGCATATGCAAATTTTTAAGTATTTGGAATATCGTTGGAGCATTTACTTAACATCAAGCAATTGTATTTAAGCATAAGAACGGTTGATGAAAATAGGTTAAATCAACTACAGTTACCAAACATTTGCTTTAGGGCTTACATGATCACTTTTAATTCAGTTATTTCATTTAATATTTCAATTTAATAGTTTACTCTTTCATTCATTTTCTAGGCAACCTGCCCATTTCTTAAGAACTAATTATTCATAAGAAACAATTTCCTCATAAATTCTCCTATCAGCAATTTTTGGAACAGAAACAATAGTCTGGTTTTACAAAATGAAAAACAATGCTACCCACACTGTGTAATATTTACTTTTAAACTCAAGATAACTAAAAAGGGAGAATGGTTCAGTAACAGAGAATATATTATGATGGAATATCAATTCCATTTAGAAGAAATGCAAGAGATCAAAAAGTATTTGAAAACAGACTGCTTAATCTGATAAAAGGAATGACTAAAAAAAAATGACAACAAATTTGAAAAAGTATTTCAAGAGATTTAGAGCCCTATTTTTTAAAAAAATAGTGGTGTATTTTGTAGTTACTTACAGTAAATTCCTATACAAATAGAGCAAAATCAGCTCCAAGTAGAATGTCACTGCATATTTCACGGATTGAGCAATAGCAGAAATTCTATTGAACATAATTCAATTCACTTTGCAGGGTTTAATATTTACCACAGACCAAGCCATGGTACTGTCATCAGGTAGTATGCAAAGATATACACCCTAAATTTCAATTAAATTAACATTTGAATATTTCTGAAGTGTGCATAATCAGCTATAAGCACTTAAGGTACAGTCCACCCCCTCCTGTACAACCACGATATTACCAACAGTGAGCTTCATTGACACTGTTCAATTGACACAGGCTACTTGTGCCCAGAGGATGAGTGGTCTAGATCATAGCTGGCAACCTTCCCTTTTTTTGCTGTAAATTCCCTTATTCCAGCGCCGTTTCCCGCTGCTTCCCGCATTGTTAGATATCCCGTAGACAGTCCCTGGGACAGGTGAGGCTGCTGATCCCTTATTTTCAAATCTGAAAGTTGACAGCTATGGTCTAGATATGTGAAATGCGCCTATGAAATCTTCTTTCTGATCAGAAAATATTTCTCATACAAGCTTTGTTTTGGAATGATTATTTATGTGGTGTGGAAACGAAATGTCAGCCCTTACACAAATAAACATACACTTCAAGGTTAGAAGGATGAGCACCCACCATCTACTACTCAGTGCTCTGAAGATCTCACTGCCCTTTATGTGGTCAGGTTTATAGTTTATAATCCTCAATCTCATAGAATCACAGAATTGTAGTCCAACTCCCTGCAATGCAGGAAATCTCAACTAATACATCCATAACAAATGGACACCCAACGTCTCCTTAAAAACCTCCCAAGGCAGTCCGCACAACCACAACCTCCCAAGGCAGTCCATTCCACTGTCAAACAGCTCTTACAGTCACTGTCAAAAAGATCTTCTTGATGTTTAGTCAGAATCTCCTTTCTTGTACCTTGGTAATTGGTTTGGGTCCTGCCCTCCAGAACAGGAGGAAACAAGCTTCCTCCATCTTCCCTGTGACAGGCCTTGAGATATGTGAAGATGGCTATCGTATCTCCTCTCAGTCTCCTCTATACCTATCTGGACATAAGGACTGCCCAATACTAATTGAAGTCAGCATCTGTGGAATTTGTTGTTATTGCTGTTAATGTCAGATAATGAAATATATTTCTTTTCTATGTTATATTTGCAAAGATTAAAGAAGTGTGTATTGGATTACCATCACACTGCTTTCTGAGATTCTAAAGACGCAAAATAAGGCTTTCAGTCTTGGTCTGAATTAGTGGAGTCTGTACACACCCTTTAGGGTGGAAAGCAACCACAACAATACAATGTATGTGTATATCCTGCCTTTAGAACACTGGTAAACAGTGTGATGATGGCATAGTGCAAATAACTAAATCAACTGATGGGAATGTATCTCAGAAAGCACACTGAAATGAAGTCTAAGAGTATCAGTACAATAGAAGTACTGTACAATTAAAAGCAAGTGAGAAATGGTTATTTGAATGAAGTAGAAAAAGTGCAAAATGTGGAAGGCTTTGCCAATCACCCCAAGGTCCCTTGTGGTTTTTTGGCCAGAAAACCGCAAGCAGCAGCAGTTTTTCTTCTTGCTAATTGAGTAGAATAGTGCCTGCTTGTCATCTTTGCATAAGTAAGACCGTCAAAGCGGCTGCATTCATTTTTCCTCTAACAGAAGCAAGACATTCATAGGGTGGGGGGGGCATGCAATGTTTTAAAAGTTGGCAGGGAAGAAGGAGTCCTCTGTAGAGCCCCCCCTCTTCTAGGATATTAGGCTTTGAAAGGAATTAAAGCTGGTTTATTGTTGAAAAGATTTATTGTTGTTGCAATGTCCAAATTCTGTTTCTGCATTTCTCACATGAACAGACCGAGGAGCACAACATGGTTTTGAACTAGTTCCTGTGACAGTAGTCCGTATGGAATGAGCTGTTAAAATGGTGTTCCTATGGATTAGGGAATTTTCTGTATGACACCATGCACTTTACTATATATATATTGCAGTGGTATAGAGAAAAACGTATAAAAATCCCCCGATCAGTGTGACTGGAAATTAATAGATTACAATGTGACAATAGTTGATGCTCGGAACAATTTAAAGGCAACTTCATAGGATGTCCATTTCACATTCACTAAATCACATATAATTGAGTAGCCTCAGTTTCCTTTTATGTTGTTGTAAGAATGAACGCATTTCCTTTTCACAGTTTGGCTCTTTTAATTTTGGCAAAGTTCTGAGATGCTTAATGAAAGAGACTGAAGAGGTACATAGAATTATTCAATTAAAATTATAATTCAAACAGTAAAGCTGTAGCTGCTTTCAAAATGTATCTCATACGTTCTTTTTATTAGAATCTCCTTTCCCTTTGAATTTCCCACACTCCCTTATCATTTTTATTTTCCTCTAAGAGAAAATATTTTGTTGCCATAGCAATCTCTTGTAGGGATGTTGCTAAAATGGCTTTCCTTCAGGCTTGTAAATGCTGCAACTAACATCCCCACTGCACAAAACTCCTCCCTATCTCTTAGGGTCCTCAACCTCTTACTGTTTAGGAACTCCTCAATAGTCTACCTTTATCTTAAAATACAGGCACACTCCAGCATTCTCTTCCAAAGTACTCTGGGCTGAAAACAGATGTTAATTAAAAATGCTGATAAGAACCGATGACACCTGTTGTTTCACACTTATTTTGCTCAACCCTGTCTGTTAAATCCCAGCTTTTATTACATTAATTCTCTTCAGCTTTTCTTCTGTTCCAGCTTTAGCCCTCTCACTCTGGTGATCATGTAAACTTAACAGTATGTCTTGAAAGCTACATTTATTGAGCAAACATATCAGCATGTCTACACACCAAAGGCAGCACTAAAGCAGAGGGAACTAAGGTTAGGGATGAGTAGCTGTTTCTACTAAAAATCCCTATTGTGTTAAGTGTGAGATCTCATCAGTTTTTAAAATGTAGATCAACATTTGGTAGTAAAAATTAAGAACTCAATGCACTTTTTCATGGTTGTAGGACCAGCTTTTCCTTAGACCTCTGGACAATAGTGGCTACAGATGCTTTCAAACTATTGAGCACATTACATCAAAAGTTTCACTTGTTTACAGTGAACCTAAACAGGCAGCACCAGGGCCTGCTCCAGACAGACCCCTCCTGTGTGCCTTGACTGAAAGGGGGTATATAAATGCAACAAATAAAAAAAATAAAAATACAGTGAAATAAAGTCCGTGTCTTTTTCCTCATACTTTTGCTAACTGATGCTTCAATATGTTATGTAATCCTTCTCCACACTTGTGTTGATGTCATGAAATCTCCCTAGCTTTGATCATTTTTTACATGGGTAGCTTATGGGTAACCTGAACTGGGAGGATGTTTCAAAAGACGTGGGAGATAACAGGAGAAGCTGCCACCATTGCCAGGTTGAGCACAGTCTAAGAAATGCTGTCTACATGACACAAGGCCATCATTTCTTTGGTATACACATTATCCCCAAACTCAACCTCTGACTTTCCAGAATATCACTTGCTAAACTGCAAAAGCAGACCCTGGGACTCCTGCCATGAAGTGGGCAGCACCTATTGCCTTCTGGTAAGTTAGCAAAAGTCTGGCTCATCAGTTTACTACCAAGTTAGCACTACTTAAAGTACCGGTATTTGTTATATCCATTTTGATTCCAGTGAGCCACCAAGACAGGATCATAGCCTTTGCTTTACTTTAATAATGGAGCTTGATCATAAAAATGGATGCTTTGTGCCCCAGATGACAGCAATCTTTTAAACTCTTGCCCCCTTTTTGTTGCCAAAGAGGTATTGAATGATACTGATCTCAAGTTATACAAACAAATGAGGAGAGGTACTTTAAGCCTGCCTCATGAAGTCCATTAACTACCTGTACCCCTTCCTTCCCTCACTGGTCTCCCAATTTCTCCAAGGAAGATTCACCTTAAGGACCACTACTCATATCCACCTGGTACCACCCATTTGCAAGATCCCTGCCCCAGAATATTCCTAATTGGATTTGAATCTTTTCCATCTATCTGTTGCCACTTCTCTTTTCCCTTTCGTAAAAGAAGCCTCAACCCTCCCACCCCTTCTCCTTTACAAACTTCCTAGACAACCTATCAGTGCCCCCAAACTCGCATTCCTCCTCCTTGGAAAATGGCTTCCACACAGAAACACTACCAAGACATTCTCCTGGTGTTTGCAACCTCTGTCAAGTTACTGAATCCACCCTATGTCAGTGGTGGAGGAAGGGGTGTGTGGTGGGTGCGGTCCGCCCTGGGTGTCATCCCTGAGGGGGGTTTGACATTGCCGCCCCACCCCCCGGGACGCTTGCCACTCACCACAGGCGGCATGCCCCCTGGGTTGCTTGTCGCTCGGGCACACACACCCCCCGGGACACTCGCCGCTCACCGCAGTTGACACCCCTGTGGGCACAGCATGTGCACCGCTCCAGGTGCCAGAGCAGCTAGCTCCGCCTTTGCTCTGTGTTCATCACTCTTCACTTCAGCCTTCTCTTTCGGTCAGAATTCTTTCCCCACTATCCCTCCCTTCCACACCTTCCCTATATGTTCCTATGTACTCTTTAGACCAGTTAACTTGAATGACTGGCTTTAACTCTATAAATGCCTGTTGCTAGGGTTGCTTAAGAAAAACTGTTCCAATTAACAGCTCCTCAAGATTAATATATTAAAAGGGAAACTTAGAATACTTAAGTTTCTTAAATTATTTCTCTCTGTTGTTCCTTCCCTCTGTTAACCCTTTATGGGAATGCTCTGTGGTCTCTATTAAAAGGTCTTAAAGACATGTCAAGGTTGAATGCACATTTTGCACCTGCTTGCGTCTAAATGGTACATTTGGTACATTAACCATAAAATTAAGAAAGTGGCCTGATATAAGGGGTCAGTTTTGAAAAATGATTTTAATGTTGGGGTTGAGACCTGAAACGTAGATAATATAATCATTAAATTTAAAGAGTGAGGAATAAAATTGACCAATTTTAGAAGTTCAGTGTGAAAAATTGTATTAGGTCACACAACGCTAATTTACATTTTTAGTATCCATTAAATTCAGTTAAAACAGTTATATCTTTTAGTCTAAATACAGAGCATATCCACAGAATCACTCACTTCTCTATAAAATTGAGGAAAGCTTCACTTTTAAAATGTGATTATAGCAAAACAAATGAAAACAACGCCTTATCTACAATCAGTGCTTTTTTCTGTGGGTACTCTGGGACACTTTTTTCTAGAATAAAAGCACTGTCTACAATGCATGTCTTGATAAGAAGGAAAGTCTAGCTAAACAAAAAAAACTGATAATAAATGCTTTTTTCCCAGGGCAATCTTTTAAGAAAATGTGCTAACCACATTAAAAGGACAAGGTTACTGAAATGGGTAATTAATTTGAAGTTAATAAAAAATTAAAGCTGTCATTCACCTGAGCAGATGGTGGAAGAATCTTCTTGCATATCTGCTGATCTGGTCCCTGTATTCCAACACAGTTGTCTCAGAGAGAGGCCTTGTTGGTGCATAGAAGGTTCTGAGGCTTGCCTCCAGCTGAGCTGTGGGTTCAAACACAGCAGCAGTGAAACAAGTGAAATCCCTTCACCTATAAGAAACTGCTCTGGTTTGTAGTCAGTCAGGTTTTTCAAAGACAGACACAATGAATGTATTGCCAGGAAGGTGAAGTAAAACATGTGACAGCTGGTACAAAAGTAAACCTATGTACAACAACTGAGGCAGGATCAATGATGATCTGGAACAACAACAAAGCAGCTGTCAAAAGAACAGAGGCTGTTCTCTAATTATTTCTATGTGGCAATAATGACTCATCAGCATGATAAAATATGAACAAAGTTCTTCCTTGTATATATCAAGTTCCAGTTTACTTATTTGTCCTTCATAGCAACACAGCTCTGGCTTTTCTTAAGCTTCTCGATTGTGCCACAGGTCAACAGGTGAAGAACTTTTCCTGTGATGGCCCCTGGGGAATGGAATTTACCTCAGTGCACATTTCACCACCTCTGCAAGGAGCACTGACAACAGCAGGACTGCTTTTCTGCCTTCAGAATTATTCAGGGTGACTTAACATAGCTACCAGAAGAATGCTATCTTAATGAGAGTATATAATTGCTACATTCCAAAGTACTTCCTTCCCAATCAGCAGCAATTTCTCCTTTGTAGCATTTTTTAAAAGTATTGAATGTTTCTCTTGTCCATCAATATTTCAAGTTTTTACACCACAACCGTTCTCTTTTAGTTTGCACACAGCTGCCGGCCATGGAAGAAATAACTGCTTTGCGGGAGGCACCCACAGTAAGGTGCTTACAAAGACTTAAAAACACATTCGTTTGCTCAGGCTCACTGGTCCATTTCAGATATTGTGTATAATCCCTGACAATGCTCATTGATGGTACCTGGTTTAATTTTATGTATATATTAATACTTATTTGATAGGTTTGAAAGTTTTTAATATTTAAGGATTGAAATTTTATTCTGTCAAATACTTCAGGATCCTTGGATGGGAAGTGGTCTATAACTCATTTCAATAAATAAAACTTATTATGCTGGTCATTGACAGTAACAATGAATATCTTATTTGAATAAAGAAAACTGAGAGCACACTATTTATTTATTGGCCATCTTTTTGGGTATAACACAAAAAAGAAAGCTTATAGTACACTAATAAAATATGTTAAAGAAATTAAGCAATCAATAAAAATAATAAAATAATAAAATAAAATGTGGCAATTATTAAATTAATAATAAAAGCAGGGGCTTACAATAAAATTACATTAATAAAAGCAGGGGCTTTCACCCCATCTGGAGGAAGGTGGAAGTTCCTACAGTACACTCAGGGCTATCCTGCAAGTAGTTTAAATAACTAGGCAAAAATATATTTAGGTTACATAAGGAATATAATGTGTTGGTATTAATGACAGGCCATAAACCAGGCATAGGCAAACTCCGGTCCTCCAGATGTTTGGGACTACAATTCCCATCATCCCTAGTTAACAGGACTAATGGTCAGGGATGATGGGAATTGTAGTCCTAAACATCTGGAGAGCTGGAATTTGCCTATACCTGCCATAAACCCTTGATTATAAACACTTGCATGCATAATACCATTACGGGATCCTTCCTTCTACACTAGACTTTCCTTCAGTAACAACACTATTTGCTCATTCACTTATGCCTGAGATTATTATTTCCAAAATACAGCATTCTTACAATTTCTTCATTGTCACATTTTATGGGGTTGGTGAGGCAGTGATATTTAGAGCTTCTGTCGCTGGGAATAATAGCATAAAGCTTTCAGAAGTGAACTGATAAATAGGGCTATTGTCTCACCAGGTACGAAGTGGTGGTTGGTTAGGCATGTAGCCCTGCCTTTCTACCTGCCTGCCCATCACTCATTTGTTTTACTGCCCTTCCCTTGCCCTGCAGTGAAACTGTCAATTGGTCTTGGCAAAGTCCTGTCAGTTTTACCAATGTCAGCTTGTTTGCTTTTTAAATTAACACATTGCCAAGTGCACCAGTGCTAGTGTGCTCAGATATCCTTTTCATGGAAAAAAGGAACATCTTAAGATGACACACCCAAATCATCTCCACCCCTTCAAAGAACAGGACGAATGGTGGGAACAGGGTACCCAGGGAGAACAGGGTAGACAGATGGGGCAAAGGTTCAGTGCGTCTGGCAGTTAACCAGAAGATTGATGGTTTGAGCCCACCCAGGGACAGCTGTGGGCAGCCTGGGGCAGCACACGTGCCCTGCACCCGGGGGCGGGGCCAGCTGGCCATGGGGGCACCACGGGGCCTCTGAGGAGTCTGCCTGCCTCCTCCCACTCAGCCGCCCTACAGCTGAGGGGGAGGCAACGGGCGGACTGTTTGGGGCAGGGCAGAGCCTGCGGGCGCTCAAGCCATCGCGTCACTCCCAGGAGAGATGCGTGGCTCGGGTGTGCTGTAGACCCCGCGGTGAGTGCCGCTCGCCATTTTGTCACACACCGCCTCAGTGAGGACGCCCAGGGCGAACTGCACCTACCGCAGCCCCCTTGCTATGCCCCTGGCTGTGAGCAGGATTCCTGCCTTGCAGGGGGCTGGACTAGATGACTCTTGGGGTTCCTTCCAACTCTACAATTCTATGATTCTATGAAGTTTCCCTAGCTTCCATTGCAAGAGAAAGCTTTAGGATTTGCTTCCCCTTTAAGGGGCATTGGAAGAGCTTGGGGATTACCCTCCCCAGTTTTGTCCTAGCTCTCAAAAATTTACCCTTCTTGGGCTTTGATTGCCTCCCCTGCAACTGACTCACTGATATTTACTAGTGCTGTTCTGTCATCAGCATCCCCGTGGAGGCAACAGGCGATGGAAGAACTTGCCTTAAGATTTTTTTGTACTGCTTCTGGAATGAACTGAATCTCTTGCGCCTTACTTTTTACACAGACAACAGCCGCTGCCACCATTCTGCCCAGATAATGGGAGGAGGGGTGGGAGGCCACTGCCAGTAGCAGTCTTCAAACAGCTGTGGCATCATGGATTGCCTGGATAGCTTCCTCCAGCCTGAGGTGAAGTGAAGGGAGTTGGAAAATTCCAGATATTAGTGAAATTGGCATGGCCTTTTATTATCTGTGGCTGTTTAGAAGTAGATTGGGCATTTTAAATATATTCCCTTCTCCTGTTTTTAATGTACCCATGGGGGGGTTGTTTTTGTTTGGTTGTAAGTCACTTTGGGCTGCCTTAGGCAAGATAAAGTGACTAACAGATTTATTAATAATGATGATGATGATGATAATGTCTTTCCTCCCTCTGCACTGTCAGTTTCACCAAGAAGCTCCGCTGACATTTGAAAACAATCACTTTCCTGGTCCTCCCAAACTGTTTCCTATATAGAACTTTCCTTCCCCTAAATGGGCACAGAACAAAGAGGAGGAATTGGTAAAGGAGCCATCAAAGGGGGTTTACCATATTTATAATATTGATGACAAAAAAGCATTTAAACACCAGATGCACATACAGCTGACAAATTATGTGCTATTGTCCAGAAATAGGTTGTTATTGTTTATTTATTGTTTATTGAATTTATATACCATCCTATACCCACAGGTCTCAGGGCGGTTATAGGGGGAGTTGCTGTGGTTATAGAGATTCTCTCCAGGCTCTCTGTCCAGTTGGGAGGGAATCTAGAGCGTGCATTTCTGGCACTGGGGAGTTGGGACAGATTAGGGATTCTGCTGGTTTACCGCCTGCCTTGCTGCCCAGCAGTGTCCCTGCCTGAGCTGACAGAGCTGGTCTCAGAGGCAGTGTTGAGGACTCCCAGACTGCTGGTTCTGGGAGACTTCAACATCCATGCCAAGGCAGCTGGCTCTGGGGCGGCTCAGGACTTCATGACCACCATGACAATCATGGGGCTGTCCCAACATGTCACCGGTCCAACCCACATGGTAGTTCACACTCGGGACCTTCCTTTCTCAACTGGGCAGGAAGAGGTTGATTTGAAAGTGAGGGACATTGACATCTGTGCCTTGTCATGATCAGATCACTTCCTGTTGAGATTTAGGCTGTCAGCATCTTCTCCCCTTCACAGAGGCTGATGGATCCAGTGGGATTCCAAACAGCTCTGGGTTTCCCCCCCGGCTGATATGACTGGCACCCCTGTTGAAGTCCTGGCCTAACTCTGAAACATCCAAATGGCTTGAGCTGTTGACAAAATTGTTCCTAAGCACCCTCTCTCACTTCGTGAAGCCTGTTTGGCCTCCTGGTATACTCCAGAGCTTAGGCCGAGGAAACAAGCTGGGAGACAGCTTGAACGCAAGTGGAGGAAATATCCAAATGAATGCAACCAACAGCAGCATTAAGCGCAGCAGAGCGCGGCACAGAGGAAGGGGAAAGCAAAGGTAGAAAACAGCGGGGGGGGGGGGGGGAGCCGATTATCAAGCCACGAGAGCAATGACAAAGGGAGCAGTTCGGGCAGGGGAAGCTGAGAGGGGGAGGTGGCCGGGAACGGAGAAACCCGGAACCTTTTTCGCCACAAGAGCGGCAAAGTTGTAAAGCGAGAGCAGCAATTGATACAGCACTCCCCTCAAATGCCCTGCTCCCCACGCACAGTGATGGACTCACCCACTGCCAATTGATTGGGGCATCCGATAAAAGCTTTTTTCCAGCCACCCTGGGTTGAAACAGCGCCTGTCAGCTGTTCCACGTCCCAAGCAAATTCCACGAGAGTGGCTCAACAAAAGCAGTAAAAAATCCCCCCCCCCAAATGCTTCAGCAGGTCCGACAAAAGCAATAACCGAGCGAAGTTCAGCGACATTTATAGGTCAAAACCAGCACTTTAAATTGAGCCCAGAAACTAATTGGCAGCTAGTGTAATATGCTCAAACTGCCTTCTCATGGTGAGCAACCTGGCTCCACTCAGTGGTTTCATGTAGATCAGAGCTTTCCAAACTTTTCGTGTTGGTGGCACACTTTTTAGACTTGCATCATTTCACAACACAGTAATTCAGTTTTACTAGCAAACCAGAGGTTGAACTAACCCCTTTCCAGCCCTGGGAGGAGAGCAGGGAGCATTTGCACGACACACCTACACACTGCAGCTTACACGTTAACACGTCAGGACACACAGTTTGGAAAGCTCTGATGTAGATGTTAAACAACATAGATGACTGCTAAAGGTAAAGGTACCCTGGGGAGTTGGGCCAGTCTTGCCAGACTCTAGGGTTGTGCGCTCATCTCACTCTATAGGCCGGGAGCCGGCGCCGTCCGCAGACACTTCCGGGTCACGTGGCCAGTGTGACGAAGCTACTCTGGCGAGCCAGCGCAGCACACGGAAACGCCATTTACCTTCCCGCTGGTAAGCGGTCCCTATTTATCTACTTGCACCCGGGGGTGCTTTCGAACTGCTAGGTGGGCAGGCGCTGGAACCGAGCAGCGGGAGCGCACCCTGCCGCGGGGATTCGAACTGCCGACCTTTCGATCGGCAAGCCCTAGGCGCTGAGGCTTTTACCCACAGCGCCACCCGCGTCCCTTAAGATGACTGCTAGTTGAGCGCAAAAAAGGGAATAAAATTCTGTTGTCATCTAGAAGCAAAGTATAATTGATAGAAATCCCTCTCTTCCTTTAGCTGCAGATACAATTTGATTTGAGATACAGACGCTCCTTTCAAGGCAGATGGGCAAACTGAATTTTAGTTAATCAAAGTTTTCAAGTGCTTTAAAGGTGTTTGACCTGTAGGGAAATTTCTCTCTCTGATATGCTGCCATAAATGTCTGTTTGAACTAACCAATTCGGTATTCAGTGATAATTATCATTTAGTTCTAAGCATAGGTACATTTTATTTTATAAGATTTGATAGCACTGAAGGCTCTAATAAGCCCAGTGTTATGAGCACTGGCAACCTGTTAGGAAATGAGGTTTCGCAGTATCTTAAATCTAGACAGTGAGATAAGCTGAACTTTGAAGGTGTTTCCCTTCAAAAGCATCAATCAATTTTGATTAAAATTTAATACAGTAGGTTATTGGGGGGGGGGAGAGGCATGCTCTCTTGCTGTTGCGGTTTTCCTTACAGCATGTTTTGCACTTCTGAAATGCTACGGCCCACATGGAATACGAGTAAGTATTAGCACAGTTACAGATTCATTAGATAGCACAGCTTGATGGTGACGGCAGAAATGAAGATCTCAAAGATAACCGTCAAATCATTACAAATGAAAGGGCTGTCTGGGTTCCTCTAATAAAAAGAAAACAAATTACCATGACAGGTTTTGTTAGGCTTGTATAGGATAAATCCTGGATGGCATAAAACTCTACTGTAAAGCAGAATTAGCAGGGTTGCATGTAGGGAAGAACTCAACAAGACAGCTCTATATAATACACGTATTTTAAAACAAAATTTCATGAAAAGCCTCTCCCTCCCACCCATCCCCGCCATCTTCCACTTTCCCACTGTGTACTTTCAGAAGTTTTCCAAGAGGAGATTTTGACCTTGTCTGCTGGAATATTAAACATAGGTAATCAGTCCTGCATCTCACACTGTAGTGTAGGGATTGCCTGCCTCAGCCTGATGGCCTGGGGGCAGGTTTGGGCAGCAAGCAAATTTTCTAATATCTGCTGCTCCCCATATCCTACACCCCCTTCTTACCACAAAGGCAAGCTTGGTGCCCAGCTGCACCTCCATGCTGAGTCATGGCATGAAGTTTTCCTGCTTAATTTTCCTCCTATCTAAATCCTGGGAATAGCACAGTTCTAACACACACACAGCTATTCACTAGAGAACCATCCCACCAGGATCAAGCAGAGATGAGCCTGAGCCTTGAATTGATCTGTCAATGTAGGGAGGTTTCAGACATCACTGTAGGCAACAGGAGAGAGACAGCAAGAGGAGGAAAGAAGTATGAGGGTATACAACAGGTAACATGTAAAGCTGATTGATGTATTTCTTTAACCAATCACCACTGAATAAATTCAAATTATGAACAGTTATCTTAAGAAAAAGTCACCCCAAATGAGGTTTTTGATTCACGAAGAGGAAAGTAATGTCCATGCATACACACCACTGATAACAGTACGAAACAGAATGGAACATTTCAACTACTATTTCAGTTGAAATGGTAAGTTTGGTGCCCGTCTTTCTTAAGCAAGAGTAAATTGATATAGGATACTGAACATCTTCTGTTTGCACACAACTTCATTTTAACACAAGTACAAATATAACTCTGACCATAACAAGTTAAGACTAAAGTCACTGTTCAATGTCTGCTATTATTTTCATGTTTCAGCTACTCATATTTATGATATGCAGACAAATGTACCTTCTCTTGTAAGATTCAGCTTTTGTCTGAGAAGATAGTTTAGTATGGCACTTAGGCTTATATAGCATTGATGGCCCATTATGTTCCAGTTCATGCTGCTCAGGATATTAATTGCCTCATGTATCTCATTCTGATGAATATACTCCTGGATGATTTCTACAAGGCCAAGCTGGCCTCTTGGGATGACACCTGTCAGAGGAAACAACACAATTGTGGACAAGTTAGTGCTTTCCAACAGTGGTAGACATTAAGGATTGTGTCCGTTGGTGGCTTTGTGCTAGAATTAAGCACTTCTGCTCAGCTAATGCAGGACTCTTGATTTTCACCTATCCCTCTGTGACAAAACTGTAAACTGCCTTGGGTGCAAGAGGCAGTATATAATTGCATGTCCCTCAGCTCCGTTGAAAACCACGGGGCTGTCCAGGCTCCATGCAATTGGAGAGGGCGCTTTGGAGCCAGACAGTCAATAGCCCTGTTTAACTCCGCATTCCAGTGGGCCACCAGGGAATCAGCTGAAAGGCCATCAACATGGGATAAAACATCCCTTACTACTCTCTGGAAACCATTTGGATCCATTAAGTGACGGGGTCAGACCATCCAAATCGTCCCACCTCCCTGCAGAGGGGAAGGGCCGTGGAGAAGTCCAGTTGCACCAGGAAGTGATCTGTTCATGGGACTTCTTTTGTTTCACTTTTACTTAGTGTCAGATCACCGACATCCGTAGATGTGAACACCAGGTCTAAGGCATGTCCATGACTATGAGTTGGGCTAAACTTATTCAGGGACAGCCCCATGGAGGCCATGCTTTCCCAAGCAGTCCCTTGTAAGGTCATGTTGGCATGGATGTCAAAATCCCTTAGGACAACCAAACTAGGTGTCTCCAGGAGAGCATCTGCCATGACCTGAAGCAACTTGGGCAGGGAATCCTTGGTGCAGCGGGGAGGTCAGTACACCAAAAGGAAGCCTGTACTGGCCCTATTGCTTCCAGAACATGCACTCAGAAAACTGGGTCTTCCCAACAGGATGCCTGGTGCAAGCTAATGACTTCCTAAAAATCACTACAACCCCCGCTCCCCGCCCATATGACCTGGGTTGCTGTGCATAAGAGAAACCTGGTGGACAAGCAGTGGCAAGAACAGGCCCATCTGTTTCATCCAACCAAGTCTCTGTTACACAGGCTTCTTAAATAATCACTACATTTAATTAGATCTAGAGTTATATTAGTTTTAGCTACCAAAGCTATTAAACTATGCATAAAATGGTCAAGAGAAAAAACATCCAAATGCTATCCTAGATATATTTTTGAGGATATTTTAATATTGTATTTTATCTAATGAGCAAGATGAGTTGGGGCAACAATATCTCAAGCACAGTATTGATTTGATGGAAACCCACACAACAAATTTTCATGTGTGATAACTTTTAACCATGGAGGTAAGCATCTTCCCATTTGGGTTCTTGACTTCTCTTGGGTGGTACATTTCCAAGTGACCTACTTTGGTAAAAAAAAGGTGACAGCCAACTCACTGCCTAATTGATTTAGGAACAGTACCCAGGGAGACAGTCCAATTAAGTTTACAAGCTGGCAATTAGCAGAAAGGCCTCTAAATCCCTGTGCTGAGAGCCTGTTTGTCTCAGAAAAAACACAAAAGTGCCAGAGATAGGAAAAGGAAAGCTGTGCTTTCTGGAAAGCTGTTGTGAGTCGGAGCCACAGGGGAGAACCGTGGAGAACAAGGTGCATGGAGGCAGAGTGCCTTCTGTTTTGACAGGTAACTGGGTAATTCAGAGGCATTTAAAAACAGACAACATGTATGAATACATTAAATAATTGTTTTAATTATATAATTCCATGTAGATGTCTGCAACTATTAAACACACTACTGGACAAAATGTCTCAGGATATCTAGAAGGGTTCCCCCCCCCTCTATTTAATAAATTTATTGGGTAACAAGGACAATTTACAAATATATATATATATATATAGAGAGAGAGAGAGAGAGACTAAATCTGCACCTATGTTTGATTGTAAATTGTTCATAGTTAATTTGAAATTGGAATGTGTCTATGCGTCTAATTGCAGTGGCAATGTGAACAGACTTCAATTATTTCCTATGCTGATGTGCATGACTGTTTCCTCTAATATCTCACTCTTTCATCTTTTGAAAAGCATAAATGTTAGATTTAGTTTTAAAAGATGGATTTGGACAAATAATAGAACAGAAAATGGGTATGGTCTAGAGGCACATTAGACCACCTATTTGCAGAAACTAAGCAGGTTTGGGTCTGGTTAGGGAACAGCCTGGGTCGTATGGTAACAATGGTAGCAGTTCAATGGGGGACGGAAACTCGATGAGGCTGGAATGCAGAAACAGAAACTGGTAAAGGAGAAGAAACTGGAGCAAGGCCAGGATCACTGAAGCTGGATCAGGAACTGAAGCAGAATCAGAAGCAAAAGCAGGAACTGGCAACAGCAGGGCATAAACCATGTTGCTGTGGCCAAGAACCAGGGGGAAATGCTGGCCTTATATACTCCTCTTGGGTTTGCCTCCAGGTGCTGCACATCTCCTGTCATGGCCACACCAGCCAGGCCACCCTCGACTCCAAGACAAACACAGCAAGGGCCTGGTTCTGCAACTCCTCACTGCACTCAGGGTCTGGCCCCTGCAAATACTCATGGTACTCCTTACACACGGATGGGTGCTACAGGTACACTGTCTTGGGTTTTATGACGGAATGAATAGAGTATATAAGTATAATAAAATAACAAAATATCATTATTTACACTATTTGCAATTTGAACTGCTTGAAAAATGTAGAAATCCCTTTCATGTGGATTCACTATGAAACAGCACCAGTTAATTATAGAACATAATCCCTTCTGCCACAAACAGTGCATCAACTTACCAACTTTAAAATGCAGCACTCCAAGAGGTCCTTTGTCAAACTTAAGTAAGAGAAGATCATGGATATCTACATCATCCATACTTGGACATGAAACTTTAGGAGCAGCCCACTGGATCTGGATGAGGCTGCTGGATACATCAAAATGTTCACTGAACTGCAAAGTTGACTTGGTTGAGAAGTCTTCAGCTAAAACCTGCATTTTAATTGGAGATAGTGCCATGTCAAACAGCTGAAGTTCCCCTTGTGAACTACCAACCAGGACTATGGCTTCACTGGGGTGGCAACACATTAAGGTAGGCAATAGTTCTGCCTGTGCTGATAAAGTTACTTGACGGTAGGCCTCATATAGGACTATTGAAGAATCTTCACACCCCAGAACAAGTTTGTCTTCTGTAATGTTCCGGCAGCAGCTGACGGCCTTTGATAGCAGTGGTATTTTAGTGACTGCCACACACTGAATTTTATTCTTAACGTACTCATAGACGCAGCTGTCAGCCATGGGCTCGTGGTCTGCACTGAAAGCGTGTTCTACAGTATGAATCTGATAAGGATTACATGAGCTAAAGCTGGCATCAAGTGGATCCCCATTGGTACGTATGTAACTCAGAACCTGTAAAACAACACACACAATTTTAAAACAATTTAGTTTAGCTCTGAATGGATTTAAACAATCTAATGCTAATAAATTCTAAAAATGGAAGTCTATTATTTGCTTTACCATAGGACCCATTCACATGGCAGATGATAAAATTATTGTAAGTAATAAAATCTATTGTTGCCTTTCAGTCCTTTCCAATATTTGTTCATTATTAGTCTTGTGGAACATTGTTGTCACAGAAGCTTTCATCTAATGAAAATATGGACAACTCAGACTGTATTTGCTACCAAATCAAAAATATCCATCAGTTATGTAACTTAATCCTTGAATTCTCAGGCCATATCATATCTATTCTTGATTTTGGAGAGAATCGTGCAGCCAACTATAAAATTATGTAGATGGACTTTAATATTCTTAGAAAATGGTATTTTATTTGGTTTTGACATTCTGACCTTTGTGTAAGCATATAAAAGACTGAAGTTATTGAGTGATATCTGACTAAGTCATTGTCAGAGTCTGCTCACTTAAATTAATGAGGTTAAGTTACTTGATTTCAATGGGTCTATTCTGAGATTGATTATTATTATCATTCATAAAATACCTAAAATTTAGGAAGCAGAAGCACTGTGTTCACCAATGGTCACCAACCTATTTGGGTCTAAGGGTACATTTGGAATTTTGAGAAGGTGCCAAGGCACCAATCAGGGAATGGCTGCTGCCCGGGGTGTGGCCTAACACAAAATGGCTGCCACCTCCAAAAGAACAGAATAAGAAAAGGGACTGGAACATAAAATGGTTCAAATATGAAAACATCAATTCATTTTTGCTATTGTTCGATAACAAGAATGTTTGAAAAACTTTATTTCCCCCCAGACAATGCTAAGTCTCGGTTATCTGCCACTGCTATGCTGCTGTGGATTAGAGCTAGAAAACAGAAGAAAGCTGAATCCAAGAATAATTTTGAATTACTACAGACAGCCATATACATGCATAGTCACAAATATAAAAACATACTTAATGCTGGATGGCAAGTATTTTTTTAAAAAAACTATCTTTGTGGAATAGAAAATAATAGAAATACAAGGAAAATATAAATCAAATACATTAAAAACTCACCAGAGGGTACTAGTTGAACAATACAAGTCCCAACTGGTGTGATGTTTGAGTCTGAATGTCATCTACAAGCTTCTCAAAATTAGGGGTGTATGAGGAAATGACCATAATAATCATTGCCTTTGCACTGTGCTCCCCCCCCCCCGACAAAAAAACTTGGGAACAATCCCTGCTGTGAGCCAGGAAGGAAAAGGTGATGGCAATAATGATGACTCTGCAATGCCTTTCTCCACCAAAAATCAACTTGGGACCCATCAGGAAAAAGAAACAACTTGGAAACAAGCAAGAAGAAGTTATCTTTGTTATGAAGATCATCTTCATGCTTCTGCATTGGGCTCTGCCCCCAAAACAGCTTTGGAACAGTCCCTGCTGTAGGATATGCAGGAGAAACAAAAAAGGCTTGCCATGGGCTCATTCACAGTTCTTCTTTTCCCATGCTTTCTAGGCACGGGTCTGCAGAAAACCAGATTGATGTTTGTTCTCCTTTAAAAGTAAACAGCTGGTTTCCGCAGGAGAAAGTGGTGGGAGAAGCAGAAGTGTGGACAAGCCCCATATCTTCTCTCCTTCTCTCTGTCACACACATAGATTTAACTGTCAGGCAGCTGTAAGCAACTCCCACAGCCGGTTGCTAGGATCGTACAAAGACAAAAAAAATTCTTACCATCTGCTTTTTATTCAATATTTACAGAAAGAGGGTGTTGTCCTAAGGGAATCTCCACCCCCTCCCACTTCCTCATTCGTCATCATCATCTCTACAGGGGCCGCTTAGTGCCCTCTGTCTTCGAGCTCTTTGCTCTCCTACTTTGAAGGCTTGCCGGGTTCTGGGAGATGGTGGGTCTGGGGAGGCAGTCTCCATCATTCCTCCTCTGCCCAGTTCCTGACATTAACTGTGGGGTCTCCCAAGCAGCTGGCTCTTCCATGTGCCAGCATGCAGCAAAATACACACAGCTGCAAAGGGAGGATTTCTGCGTTTCTTACCATAACCCCACATTTTCAAAAAGTTTCTCAAGCAGCAGCTTGTGACTTTTACACATAGCTGTGAGGCAGCAAATTTGTGACAGCTGATTCCCATGCTTCTTCCCCTACCCAACACACAGATTTCATTATTATTATTATTATTATTATTAACTGTATGCCTGCCAGGTGCTCCATGCTGTTGGCAGCAGCAAAATAAAATAAACAGAGAAGCAAACTGGTGGATCTAAGGGCTAGAAAGTAAGACAGAAGCAGGCAAAGTGCGCTAAAGGGGAGAAGGAAAACAGCCACTCTTTAGGACCCGAGATTCCTATTGCCTGGTATCCAAACAGTTCTTATCAACCACAGCTCTGACTTCACTCAAGGGCTAAAAACACTGACAGGCAGGCTGCTTCACTTCAAAGAAATTGCTTAGAAGTGTACCTGCACATTTTGCTTTCTAACTTTTTTCTAGACGGGCTAAAGAAAGCTCAGAGCCTGGGTCCTCTGTCTCTGGGTGCCAATGAAGGCCGTTGTGGATGCCATGGTGCCCACAGCTGCCAGGCTGGCAAACCGCAGTGTGCACAGATTAAAGGCAAGATAATCCCTGCTGGACCATAAAGAAGGCTGATCGCCGAAGAATTGATGCTTTTGAATTATGGACTGCAAGAAGATCAAACGCATCCATTCTTAAGGAAATCAGCCCTGAGTGCTCACTGGAAGGACAGATTGTGAAGCTGAGGCTCCAGTACTTTGGCCACCTCATGAGAAGAGAAGACTCCCTGGAGAAGATACTGATGCTGGGAAAGATGGAGGGCACAAGGGGGCGACAGAGGACGAGATGGTTGGATAGTGTTTTCGAGGTTACCAGCATGAGTTTGACCAAACTGCGGGAGGTAGTGGAGGACAGAGGTGCCTGGCGTGCTCTGGTCCATGGGGTCACGAAGAGTCGGACACGACTAAACGACTAAACAACAACAACAATCCCTGCCCGCATGATTATAATCTAAAATACATGACACAAAAGGAAAAAGAGATGTGTAGGGCAGGCAAGAGAAAAACAAACAGCTACCAATTCTTAATTCTTCTAATGACCAGGTTGGATGGAAAATTCAGTCGGGGAGGCACTCCAAGGCAGCAGTTTCTCAATCAAGTTGATAAAGTTGAAATGAAGCAAATGAGCCTTTTATAGCAGCTCTTAACTCAGCTCTGACCTATGTTATAAAAAGTGACTATGTAAACAACAGTATCATATTGGTTAATATTGGTTAATAAAAACGAATTCTGTAAAAATTAAGAGCGCAACATTCTGAAACTGGGCCTCTGTTTGTCCATTCTGATTTTCTTTTTATTATTTTGATTTACTGTATTACTAGTTTTATTTCATGTTTTTGTATACCACACTGGTATCTGTATAGTAGGCTACAAATTAGTAGGCCAAAAAATTTAATAAACAACAAAAACACTGGGATTTCCAACTCATGTCAGTAGATTCAGAACAAACACTACAGAATAATAGATGAAGAAATGTAGGTTCAGTGACCCATAAGGCTAACAAAGTTAGACTGAAACAACCATGGGAAAGTTATAATAACTGAATTGTGCAAAAGATATCAAAAAGTATAGTTTGGGAAAGGGAAAATAATCATGTTACTGAAAGCAGTCATGCTTTCTGACTATTTGTCAAAGAACACTACTGCAAATTAGTCCCGGGGGGGGGGGAGGCTCTGGAGACACACTGGTAGTAGACAAATAGGTAACAGAGCAGTTAGAGCTTTCTTCAAAAAGAAGACTAAAAATAAATAAAATCAATCATAAAAAGTGGACATACAGCTGTTCATATTTGTGTATGGAGAGAAAGACTTTGAGAAAAACATTTTCCCGCAGTTATACCTGATGAGTTTGAGACAGTGTAATAATGGTGGAAGGAGAATGGCGACATTCATTCTTTGAAAACTGCAATAAGGGCACAACACGCCTTTTCCGCAAAATATTGCAAGATGATGGTAATGAGAAAAAAAAGTTAAACTTCATCTGCTTTTCTACACAGCATCACTTTTCATTTCATAACAAGGTCACCAGATCAACATTTCAAGAATAAGAAATACCTCAAAACTATTTATTAAGTTAAAAATATTTGCACCCTAATGTTTTCCTCAAAAATAGCATCCAGGGCTGATAACAAACTTAAAGAGCAAAACATAAACAACTAAAATATGCTTTAAGAAGCTGGATGTTCTGAAGTAAGAGCTGGAACAAATGGCACAACTGCATATAAGAAAGCAGTATTTTCTGATCTGGATTAGTGTTTCCATTCCAAATGGTGATGCCTCTTCCAGATTTGTTGAGAATTTTTTTGCACTGCAGCTCCATAGTTCTCAAACATAGTGAGTGGAATAGTTCTCTTTGCCTGTTCTCTTCTGCTCCCTATAACTAAGCTGTGTAAGAGATGGGGAGGCTTGAGGAATTTGAATTGCAGTGCACTTCCCAGAAAAATGTGCAGAAGAGAATGTACTTATTTTTCAGATTTGACAGTCCTCTAAAATTTGTGATAATAGTTGTCCTCTCAAAAAGTACCAAAGCACAGTACAAAATATGTATTTCAGGATAAAACTTAGAATTATGAATACTGGGATAATATATGTATCTGAATATGTATCTTATGATAAAATGTATTACTGTATTTAAAAACAAATTCTCATGCAGATTAAAAAAAATTAAGAAAACTCAACAGTCTAATGAATGAACACACGCAAAACTGATACTGACTGAAAATAGATTGACCTGCCCATTTCTAGTAGGAGATTGCCTGAATTGTCTGAGTTGGGAGACATTCATTGTCTGCTCCCCAAATCCATATTCTTGTTTAGTTTGTACACAGCAGTAAATGGACATCACAGAAAGGTACCTTGCAGACAGAACTCTAACTTTTAAGTAATGTGAGCAGGGACTTCTCTGCCTTACCCATCATGTAGTGTATAAGCTGAACTAAGCAGACATGATGCAGTTTTTTTTAGTGTATTAACAGTAATGGTAGCAGAAAGTAATATTAAAATATAATTCAATATAATTAGATTGGTTTTCTACTTAAAAATTGCTACGTACAATTGTTGCACATTTCCATTTTAGCAGCCTGATCTAGCTAATCAAGAAAAGAGCACTATCTATATAACCTTAGTCCAGACAAAAAGAAAAGATGAACCATTAAAAGCTTAACTAATCTTTGCAATTAGAGCATTTGCTATCTTATGTATAGTCCTTGTAACCTTATGTTTGGGATGCAAAATAATAATCCTGATTCTTATTTCAATAGGTACTTGCTCTTTTCTGCACACTTTGAAGCACATAAATAATTGCATCATTTTGCATAGAAGTAGAGAAGAAGGGATAAAGCCCCCATACTGAAGGAAATAATAGTTTTAAACATTAGATTTTAAGCAGAAAATTGGCTTACCAGGAAGATAAAAAGGAAAATAAAGGAAACATAAAAATTAGCCCTCTGTGACTGAATTGTCTGTCTTTAAGATGAGAAAACTGTTTGATTTACTTTACAGATGTTAGCAAACTGCTAGTTTAATTTCACACTATAAAACTGTGTAAAAAAAACTAATTAGAAATGCTGAGTGAAAATTTCAATACATGGAGACTCCTACATACACTCCTGAAGAAATGTGTATTTGTTTTTTTCTTCATTGCTTAAACATTTAAGGCTCTACCTACAAATTTTTTTGCTTATGCACTGTACTCCCATTTCTGTGAACAGTCTAATTTGTTGATATTGTGGGTGCTATTCATTTTACTTTATTTGAAATCTGTTGTTTTTATTCATTTAAATCTGACATCATTTTACAAGGTTTGGATACCAACTATCTTGAGTGAAACTTAGTAGGGAACCAGAAGCTACTAAGCTGGTTCCTGACATCTTTTATTCTCCTAAGGACTTGTGATCTTCTCAGAAACATTATCTCAGTAGAAATATGGCTGATAGTTGCACTGTTCCCAACATAAATCTTAAAAGGTGAACATTTTGGTGTATTGTATGCAGTTGATAGGGGACGCGGGTGGCGCTGTGGGTTAAAGCCTCAGCGCCTAGGGCTTGCCGATCGAAAGGTCGGCGGTTCGAATCCCCGCGGCGGGGTGCGCTCCCGTCGCTCAGTCCCAGCGCCTGCCAACCTAGCAGTTCGAAAGCACCTCCGGGTGCAAGTAGATAAATAGGGACCGCTTACCAGCGGGAAGGTAAACGGCGTTCCGTGTGCTGTGCTGGCTCGCCAGATGCAGCTTGTCACGCTGGCCACGTGACCCGGAAGTGTCTTCGGACAGCGCTGGCCCCCGGCCTCTTAAGTGAGATGGGCGCACAACCCTAGAGTCTGTCAAGACTGGCCCGTATGGGCAGGGGTACCTTTACCTTTACTATGCAGTTGATAGGCCCAAAGACTCTGCCTGTTCTCTCCCCCCCCCCCCCCGCCGAAATTTCTTGAGACTCTGCCCTCCATCCTGAATTGGCTAGAAGACATATTGGGACATTTTTGCTAACAATCCATATGAAGAACAAGAGGAAGAACAAACAAGAACAAGCTACTTTGTTTTTACCTGAAAGCAGTGTCCAACCTGGAGATAACAGAATAAACAATGTAAGGAGGGAGCTGTAGCCCAAGATAGGAAACAAGGTGGTAAGGGAACATCTAGCTACTTTAAATAAATTTGAATCTCTAGGGCCTGAGGTACCCAAGGATACTAAAGGGGCTTGTGGATGTAATCTCAGAGCCTCTGTCTATAAAGTTTGAGTTCTTAGAGAACAGTGGAGGTCCCTGCAGACTGGAGGCATGCAAATGTTGTCCCCATCTTCAGAAGGGGGGGGGAGAGACCCACTACTGATCGGTGAGCTTGACGTCAGTATCATGAAAGGTTCTAGAACAGATAATTAAACAGTCGGTCTGTGAGAACTTAGAAGAGGATACTGTGATTACTAAGATCCAGCATAAGTTTATCAAAAATAAGTCATGCCAGATGAATCTCATTTCTTTTTTTGATGGAGTTACAAACTTGGTGGATCAGGGGAATGCTGTGGACATAGTGTATCTTGATTTCAGTAAGGCTTTTGACAAAGTCCCCCATTCTTGTGAGGAAGCTCGTAAAATGTGGGTTGAACGAGGGAACTGTTAGGTGGATTTGTAGCTGGTTGACTGACCGAACCCAAAGAGGACTCATTACTGGCTCCCCATCATCCTGGGAAAAAGTGAAAAGTGGGGTGCCGCAGAGTTCTGTCATGGGCCTGTTGTTGTTCAACATCTTCATAAATGACTTGGATGAAGGAATTGAGGGGATGTTCATCAAATTTGCAGGTGACACCAAACTGGGAGGGGTAGCTAATGCCGCAAAAGACAGAATCAAAATTAAAAATGACCGTAACAGATTGGAGAACTGGGTGCAAGGTAACAAAATGAATTTCAACGGGGACAAATGTCAGGTTCTGCACTTAGGCAGGAAGAACCAGATGCACAAATATAGGGTGGGGGACACCTGGCTTACTAGCAATACATGTGAAAAGGATCTAGGGATCCTGGTGGACCACAAGCTTAACATGAGTCAATAATATGATGATGATGATGCAGCAGTAGCAGCAGCAGCAGCAGCAGCAAAAAAGTGAATGCTATACTAGGCTGCATCAACAGAAGTATAGCGTCCAGATCAAGGGAATTAATAGTACCACTCTATTCTGCCTTGGTTAGACCACACCTGAAATACTGTGTCCAATTCTGGGCACCACAATTTAGGAAGGATGTTAACAAGTTGAAATGTGGGCAGAGAAGGGCAACCAAGATGATTAAGGGTCTGGAAACCAAGCTGCATGAGGAACGATTGAAGGCACTGAGTATGTTTAGCATGCATAAGAGGATTGCCGCAGAGTATTTTTGGGGGGGAGGGACAGAAATATTGGGGCTGGCTGCCCCCTCACCAGATGGCACCCCTTTCCAGACAAAAATTATTGGACCTGTATACTTCAGCCTAACGTCAATTCAAACCGGTCATTTAAGACTTTTTCAACTTTTTTCCTTTCATTTCTTCGGCTGTTTTAAAGAATGACACTGTTGTTGTAAATTGATTGTTGTGTTTATTTAAAATGACCACACACACACAACACCTGAGTTTGCTTGTGTTTTTCCACCCTTCTAATCCTTTTTCCTTTATGCATTGTTTTTTAGACTGTAAGCCTGAGGTGGCTGTCTCATGTGTTAGTGATCTTCTGTAGGCCACTCTGGAAGTGCTTTTGGATGAAATGTTGGGTAAAACCATTTTCAAATAAATAAATAAGTAAATAACCAACACACAGTAGCAGTGTTAAACATGAAGATTACCAGGATTCAATTTAAATGTCTACCTGCAAGCTGCCATGCTCATAGGTGAAGAGCAGCAAGTTGGCTCTCTCCCTTTCACTGGAGCCAGGAGACCAAGGCCACACTTCATCCTTTGCCGTCAACCACCAGCACATAACTCTGTCTTCTTTGCTATTTATTGCCAGATGATGCTTTGTTCTTCTATTGCCTAGCTCAGGTGTATCAATATAAGATATCTGAGGGGGGAAAATGGACACATCTGAAATTAGAAAAGCAACACTTTTGTTACTTAGGCTATCTACACCTAAAAAGGTAAAGGTACCCCTGCCCGTACGGGCCAGTCTTGACAGACTCTAGGGTTGTGCGCTCATCTCACTCTAGAGGCCGGGAGCCAGCGCCGTCCGCAGACACTTCCGGGTCACATGGCCAGTGTGACATCGCTGCTCTGGCGAGCCTGCACCAGCACAGCACACGGAATGCCGTTTACCTTCCCGCTATAAAGCGGTACCTATTTATCTACTTGCACTTTTTAAGGGTGCTTTTGAACTGCTAGGTGGGCAGGAGCTGGGACCGAAAGACGGGAGCTCACCCCACCGTGGGGAATCGAACCGCCGACCATACGACCGGCAAGTCCTAGGCACTGTGGTTTTACCCACAGCGCCACCCGCGTCCTGTCTTCTACACCTAGGTTCTCACAAAATCATTCTGCATGTAAAAATATGATTTGTCCAATGAAGACACTGCTTCCTTTTCCAGTTGAATCCCATCTATTCTTTGATTTCACTTGCAGTGATAGCCCAGAATAGTAGAGAAGAAACTCTCCAGAGTTAATGTAACGCAGCAGACAATATGGTTTTGAATTGAACTTGGACCTGGAGAAGATCAGTGAAAGTCATCACTAGATTTCAGTCTCAGTTCCCTATCTATGAAATAGAAACAGCACTGCTGGTTTCTCAGTGCTATTGTAAGGATGGATCAGAGAAAGAAATACCACTGTCTACCTCAAGCTATGGGGATTAGGAGTGTTACAGAACAGAAACCAATCCATTGGCTTTAGAGGAAAGAAGCAATATATTGGACTAATACTGAATTGGTAATAATAACCTGTGTAACAGGAACAAATATCTACTTACCACTATAACAATATATTTTGAGTTCACAGCAAAATTTATTTGCATGCATTATTATTTCCATAAATCACATGTGAATTATGGAATCATTGATTACAATTCTTTATTGATGGGCACCAGAATTTTTTAAAAGTTTGTGTCTCCAAGTTTATCTGGTTTACTGCAGAGCAAGCTGCCTGACTAACTTTTAAAAGTTGCTCTGTATTTAAAATTAAGTGTTGGAAACATATCTTTAAGAGGTTTTGCTTGTATGAGACTATGCCTTAGGTAATTTTATGGAAACAATGCAAATCAGTTCATATAATTATGAACATCAATCCAGTTTCAGGTAGTTATGAAACAGCTTTGATCACCTTGGTGGATGATCTGTGTGGGGCACACAGTGCCAATGGAGGCTGTCCCTGGTGTCCACAGAGCACCTTCCGCACTCCTACCCCAACCCAAATCAGGCTTGAAAGAAATATTCTGTTGTAATAATGTAATAGTTTGTGCTGTGGACTTAGTGTCCATGTGTTTCTCTGGTTTGAAAAGGTGCCCAAGGGTCAGAAAAATAGGGAAGCTCCAGATCTAGCCAACCATAGGCGTTTAAGTTCAACTGATGGCAGTGGGAGAAATAACTGAAAATAATCATGAATTTGACATAAACACCCATTCTTCTCCCATTTTCTCTCCATGTCTGTTTGACTATTTTAGATAGAAAGCTTCACTAGGTAGCAAGCTATCATACCTGGACTTTATAAAGCGCACTGTTCACAGACGATGCTATGTAAGTACACAACAACAATATATTTAAACTTGTGCTTAACTCTCCCGTTGAAAATCTAAAACCTAAAAGAAGTAGCTGGGTTTTGTCCATAAATGTATTCTATTTGAGGAGTATGAGTCTTAATTAAGTTTGCAGATGCTTTGCACAACATGTAGTGCTGAACCTGAACTTAAAATTAAGGGCAAAACTAGACATGTTATAGGATGTCAGTGAGTGGAACTTCTGTTTTTTTTTACACTTAAGCAGTTACAAGGCCCACCCATCAATTACATTTGGATTGTGACACTGAGGTTGTATACACCACTTGACTGTAAAAAAAACCTTAAAAGCAGTTTAAAAGAAGAATAAAACAAATTATCAACAAAAACAGGTAAAACAATTATTTAAAACATTAAAAATATGTAAAATTAATGATAAGCTAAAAACCAGATTAAAACACGTCAACATTCTATGTATCTGGACAGGCTAGCCTAAGGAGAAATGTTATTTTTAATGTTATTTATTAATATGTATATGGTTTTAGCACTCTTAACTGGTGCGGGGCACCATGTGTCATTGACTGGGCTATGTAGTGATTCTGTAGCTCTTTTTGGACTACACATATTTGGAATATGCAGAAGAATTGACATTAACATCTTCAAGCTGTGGTAGTTTTTAAAAAATTGCTTTATCGTGTAACTGTTTCTTTGCTTTTAATTTATTTAACTTTCACTCTTACATTCTGTGGCCAGTGCTTAATCTTAGTAGCTACGGTATTTCTATCTGCTTTTTAGGAAAGGAATCACAGTGCTTTTTAGGAAAGGAATCACAGGGTGATTGCAATTTTTTCAGAACTCTTATATCTGCTTTCTTACTGTACCAAAATAAAAATTGTGAACAACAATCTCTTCTCCAAATGAGCCAGCAAACAGTGTGTTTCAAAATATATTTTTTTGTGAGATGAGAAAAATGGATCAAAAAAGGTATTAAGTTGTATCCTGTACGTATACTGATATATGGAAAAGCACACTGCTCATTTTTTAATAATTACTATGCATTACTACTGCACATAGTAAAAATGGTATGTGCATTACATATAGTGATGGGATGGGTCAAATTTGAGAGTTTCTCAGTTCTTTTTTTCAATGTTACATTTTAAAGATTTTGCTTAATTTTTCCATAGAAATCAATGGGATTAACAGTGCTTGATTATGTACAGATTACATCTAAATTTGTATTTAAATGTAACCGTAATACTGAAAACATCCAGGAACTAGCTTTACTATTACGACATGTACTCATGTATGAGTTCCATCCCGTCATTTGTACATGTAAACAAAAGAATACTGTAAGCAGAGATACTTATGTCCCTAGTTTTATAGGTGGATAAGGAAGCACATGAGTTAAGGAGGAATTTACTGCTGTGACTCCAATCAATACCAAAACACACAGTCATGGTTGCTTGAGAGCATCGACCCTGCATGTGAGGATTTAATGCTACTCATATTAAGTTCTGCAATACTGACCAAAAGGCTAAGGCGACTTTTTCAGACACAGCTTCAAACATTAAAAGGTCATTTACAATGTTTGGATGTACCATTTATTTTTCTCCTGGATTAAGAATGCCAAGTGCTGTAAGGGAAGATGTACTTTTCGCCAAGTAATATGGATGAGCTATAGCATCTTGCGTAAAGTTATGTGGCCTCTTGAGAATTGTGTGCCTCTATTCCTCCAAAAGGATTTGTGGAATTTATTATTCAAACTATGTTATTTTGGAGCATGGTTATTTGAAAACATGAGCAGTACACCATCTGGGTGACACATGCCAAGGAAATATAGATTGCACCACATTTCTGCTTAAGGAATTAATGGAAGGTTGATAGCTAGGGGGGTGGAAAAAACCTATCTTGCTATTGCTGGTCAGCAATAAT